GAAAATCAAAAGCCACCCACAAATCAAACCCCTTCCTCCCTCCCACACACACATACAGATCTGGAAGCCACACACACACACACACACAGAGTGGCGACGGAATGGAAGAGAAAGAGGCGACGGCGGCGGAGTGGAAGAGGAAGATCGGCCCTTTCTCCCTCTCTCTCTCTCTTTCTTCTCTCTTCTCTCTCTTTCTCCCTCCTTCCCTCTGTTGCATTTCACAAATAAAAAAGAGAAAAAAAAAATCAAAATCAAAACGTTGATTTCGAGCCATTCAAGCCTGTGGAGTTTCGAGGTACAAGCTATTTTTCTAACACCATTGACTTCTCTCATAATTTTAATTCACATAATTCTTAAGTCTTTTTTTTATTATTATCAGTAATTCATTAAATATATAAATAAAAAAATTATATTATCATCTATTTCTTATTAAATATATATTTATTTTTATTTCTTTTAATATCTATCTACTGTGACATTAATTCACTTTAATAATGTAATTAAATAGGTGTAATTAAAATCCTTTTTTTTTCTCGGCCCTTTTAGCTCTCGCAAGCAAAGGATAAAGCGCAGTTGGTGTGTGTGGTTAAAAAACGAACAAGACATCGAGAGAAGAAAGCAAAAAAAAAACCCAAAACAATCAAAACACCAAATCGGAGCTCCCTTCACTAATGGCGACAGGAGTGAAAGTGTACGGACCACCATTGTCGACAGCAGTGTCGAGGGTGCTATCTTGTCTTCTCGAGAAAGACGTCCAATTTCAGCTCATCTCCATCAACATGGCCAAAGGCGAACACAAAAAAGCTGATTTCCTCAAGCTCCAGGTATTCATTACATAATCATAAAATTTTGGCCCTATAATTTTGATTGGCTATGTTTTGATCATCAATTTTATCTCGATTTACTACAATTTTGGAGCATAAGTGATGTGTTATGTTTTTTAAGTAAAACTATAACCTTGTTTGACTCTGGGTCAAATTGACATAATTTAAAATTTAGAGTTAAAATCGATTTAATTGAAATTAGAGGAACAAATTTGGGAAAAAAAAAAGAGTATTTTTTTTTTGACTTTTGAGGCTAAAATAACACTTAAAAATAAAACAGGTTAAAATAATCAATATGATAAAATGTAACATTAAATTCACAATTATTTTATTTTTTTGTTATAAATATCACATCGAAGGATAAACAAATTTGACTCTTATTCCAAACACAATTATTTGAGCCTATTAAAAAAGTCAAAATCTAAAATAACTAACTAAAATAGTGAATTTCCCAACGGGATATAAAAAACAAAATGCAAGGGCTACTGATATTTGAGACCCCCAAATGCACCCAATGACGTGGCAAGGAAGTGAGCGCCACATAATTAAGTATGTGACAATACCGCATCATTGTGAGTGAAATTGTAGGGGTTTATTATGGGTCTCAAATATTTTCCTTTGCCCATATATATATATATATATGTAGTTTGTTTCAAATGTCAATTTGGTCCTCCTAATTTTATTTGGATCAATTTTACTCTTGAATTTTTAATTTAGTCCAATTGATAATGAACAATTAAAAATTAGATTCAAATTAATGGAAAAAAAAATAGTTCATTCTCTCTCTTTAATGTTGTTGAAAGGTCGGCCTCTAATTTGACATGATGCATTTCTTTTGATGCTTTGCCATTAAATTTATATTTAATTTCTTAACGGATGTTATCGATTAAACTAAATTAACACGATTTAAAGAAAAAATTAAAATTGAAAGACAAAATTGAAACAATTGAACTACGTAGATCAAATTGAGATAAAAGACAAATTACAAGGATAACATATATAATTTGCCCTTATTTATTTGTTAGAGTCATTTATGTACGTTGTGTTTGGATAATGGATTTGGAAACAGAAAGGGAAATGGAGAAAAAAGGTAGCTTATATTTCATCTAGGTTGTCCTCACATTTTCACTTTCACTTTCACTTTCCAAATCTCTACTGAAATCCATGATCCAAGCACAATCATAATGTCACTCTAACCTTGAACATGAAACAGCCATTTGGACAAGTACCAGCATTTCAAGATGAGAGCATATCCCTCTTTGGTAATTACCCTCAATTCCCTTATTTTTTTATTATTGAAATTGCTCTTAGTTTCAATCACATTGTATATTTTCAGGGAACAATTTGTCTCCAGATTCTTGTGCAGTTTGGTTATGTGGGTTTATTCTAACAATTTAGTGTTTTTTTTTTGTTGTTGTTGTTCTATTTCACTACTTACCTAGTTATCAACCACCATTCACTAACTATTTACTTTTAGTTAAGCTTATCATATTTGTAAGTCCATAGTCATAATCATATCATCACACTTTTCTTTCTTCTATTCTGGCCTTCCTCTCGAGTATCACATATTAGCATGTTAAAATTATCCATCAAATCACAAAAACGAAAGCTCAAATCATCAGTTACCTTGCTCTTTCTCCACATTTTATTTATTTTCATCTTTTTTCCATTAGGCCTTTTCATTCTCTAGCAAAATTTCAATGTTTCTAGCTTCTTTCTTTTTTTCTTTTTCTTTTTTTTTTTTTGAAATGTGGCTATCAATGGATTTTTAACATGAAGACTAATTTTTTTAGGGGCCATTACTTGTGGCATTAAATTTCAAAGGGAAACCCATTTAAAGAGTGGGTTTTCCAAAACTTCTAAGCATGCCAAATTGAGTTTGGGAGGGGGCCATTACACGGGAATAAAAAAAAATTTAAAGGGTTGTACATGTCCCTGTATGAAAGTAGACTTTCTCAAAATTTTGGAGGGGCCCTCTACCCCTAGATGTGGGTAAGGATCATGACAATATGTGCTTTGTACATTTTACATCAAATAAAACAATGAATACATGTTGCCCCAACTTTCATACATAATGCATATCATACTTGAAAGAATGAAAATAACTTACTTGCTTGACATGATCAACTCTAGCAACTTGAGCAGTCCTAGGATCAAGATATTCATTCTCATTAATCTCACTAACGGGCGTAATTAAAACCTGTAAATACATATGACAGACAGATAGAAAGATATGTTAACAGTCAAACAAGTTCAAGGCAACAGTGGACACTCTTAAAGACTATAAAACTTATTGAATTACACACATGTGAAACACTAAAGTTGTTTGAAAACCCACAAATCAAAGCTCAAAATAAGTGCAAGAAAGGCCAAAGAAATGATTAATAATAAAAAAGACATACATCTCCGCTTCTGTCAGGCATTTTGAGGCATATCAAGTGAGACTTATTGTACAGAGGAAATGCTTCCGAAACCGCCGTGTTGTACACATTGTCATCATTCAAAACCGATCTAACATCTGCCAAATAACCCAAAAAATAAAAAATAAAAACAAAAACAAAAAAAAGACATTGAACCCAAATTAAAATCCAAAACACAACAATTTCTACAACAATTTCTAGTGAGAGAGAGTGGGGGGCAATGAATGGAAAGAAAAGGAAAAGTTAGAAATGACCTCTGGCGACGTATTGAATTTCGCCGGCGGGGGAGTTGAGGAGGAACCATTTGGCGATCTCTCTCTTCTGCTTATCGCTCAGCTCTGACCCCTGAGTTTCGTCTTCCTCTGCCATTCGATGATGATGATAATTAATTATTTATAGATATATATGCGATTTATCTGAAACTATCGATCCAATTCCCTCTCTCACTCAAGTATATAAATATATATATATACACAAATTATGGATAATGAATGAGTGGAAATGTAGAATTTGGAATCTGATTTTGGGTGGCTGAAACAGGGAAAAGAAGAGATGAGGGTTTAGAAATTAGGGAGGGAGGGAGGGTTTGCAATTTTTGTTTTTTGTTTTTGGTTTTTTGGGGCAGTGGTGAGGGTGATCTGTAAAGGGTGGGGGGAGGTGTGGTGTGTGATTCGAAATGATTTTGATCGCTGGTAGGAGCAAGATCCCATGTCCCAAACATTCCTTCCCTCCTCTCAAATCACTCATAATTATTGAATTGAATCATATGAGATTCTCAATTTAAGAATTTCAAAACATATTTAATAAATTCATTCACATGAAAATCTAAAAAAATTTAATAACCTCAAAACATATCTAATAATTGTAAGTGATTTAAAATAGAGAGATATGAATATTTGGGGATAAGGAATCCATGGGCCGCTAATAGAGACTCATTTTTTTAGTTTAGATGAAAATCTCAAAATTTGAGAATCTTAAGACATATTCAACGATTGTAAGTGATTTGATACAGTGAGATATGAATATTTAGAGATAAGGAATTCATGGATCGCTAATAGAGACTCGTTTTTTAGTTAGGATGAGCTCCTCTCCAGTCCGAATTGTGGATACTATGGATCCATCATAAAATCTATATCAATAATTCTCGTTGAGTATTTTATATTTTAAAAAAATTATGATAATCGGATATTAATACTCATTTAATCAGATTAAATTTATGTTAACAATAATTATGATTTTGAAAATAAATAATTAATACAAATGCAATCTGATCAAGTGATCATCGAAATTCGATCAATATAACTTTTTTATAAAAATAAAATATTCGATGAATATTATATATTTAACAGTTTAAATTATCGAGGTGGCCTTTATGATAAGAATAATGCTTGGGACCCCCTTTTGAGGGTCACCCGCTCACCCCCCCTTTGCCACGTGGCGGGTGGTGATTGGAGGAGCAGGAAAAAAAAGAAAAAGAAAAAAAAAATATAACCAATGAGAGAGAGAAGGGGGTCAAAGGGGGTGGGGGGAAAAGGGGGATAAATCATTGTTGTTATGATAAATCTACAAAAACCTAACCAAATGTTCCAATTGAAAAATCCAACTAAAAAGAAGCCCGAACCTTTTAATTACATTACAACTCAAAGGCTCAACAACAATGATTCATCCCCCCTTTCCACCCACCCCCTTTGACCCCCTCTCTCTCTCATTGGTTACATTTTCTTTTTCTTTTTCTTTTTTTTCCTGCTCCTCCAATCACCACCCGCCACGTGACAAAGGGGGTGAGGGGTGACCCCCAAAAGGGGGTCCCAAGCATTATTCAAGGCTCAATTACAAACGCTATCGCCACTGTCCCTTCCTCGGACCATTTTTAAATATGGAAAATATGATACTCTATCAATTTATATTTTAAATTTAATGACGTATAAAATATATAATTAACTAATAATTAAAAAATAGGAGAAAAATAGATTGTCACTATTCTTTATAGGAACTTGGGGGTGCTGCTGTGATTAAGTCACAGCAGCAATCTGCTGTGAGTTTATGGGGGGTTTTTTCCGAGTCTTTTTGGATAATCCAAACCGTTCATATTGTAGGGTTTGTTAAATAGATCATCCATGCAAGAAATCAAATTGATTGGAAATCTATAGCTTTATAACAAGAGCATATTTGTTTTTAAAAAAAATAAACGGTTGATATTACCTTGATAATTTTTGTAAAAAAATTTGAATTTGATCATGGGGTTACGGATTTCCGATTAACTTAATTTTTTTATATAAATGATATACTTGATGAATCTTACAATAAGAACAGTTCGGATTGTCGAAAAAGACTCGGAAAAAGTCTCCACAGGCTCACAGCAGATCGTTGTTATGACTAAGTTCCCCCAGGTCCTCTTTATAGATTACCAACATACAGTTTTTAGCATCAATACTGTGTGGTTTTGGTGTATTTCTCTGGCCATAAAACTGCAAATCAGGCTAATTCGGCTAAGTTGAAAGATAACGTAAGCCCAATTTGAGTTGAGTCGTCGAGAGTAACCCAAGCTTGATTTGCAATTCGAAATTGTATGTTCAAACTGACCATAATAAATTGAACTCTAGATAATATAAAGGAAAAATTACAATTCAAGGTGTGCTTTCAAAAACAAAATTATAAATCAATGATACATCTAACAAACTTTAATAATTTATATGATAAAATTATGAATGACATTAAGCAAATTATTTATACGGTATAATAGAAATAGGGAAGAAAGAGAAGAGAATAAGGAATTGATGCACTGCTTGGTCTTTGTCCTTCTAAAAGAAAATGACTCTATTTGATTTTGCTTTTCTAGGTCAATTTTCAGAATTTAAATTTGAAACCGCATTTGTTTGGTAGTTGAAGGATTTTGAGTTAATTTTTCAAACATGGAAAACTGTTGTTTTGATTGTCTTTTGGTTTTCGGTTGACTTTTCAAATACCAATTCATAAAATGCTGTTGGTTATTAGGGTTAGTTTAGGAATATATTATTTTAATAATTTTTTAGGTAAAATATAAGGTGAAAAAAATTAGTATGTTTACAATATTTTTTAATTTTTTACAAAAAAAACTTGCGAAAAGTAAAATCAAAAGGCAATCTTTGATTTTTTTAAAATAATTTTTAAATTTTTTTAGTGTTTTTTTTTTAAAAAAAAATTTAGCTAATGTAAGAGATTCCCAACCCAACCTTTAAGATTCAAAGAATCGAGTTATTTTTCTGCAATTTCACAAATTTAAAATTTGAACTAACAGAATCGAATGTGTGAGGTTAACTATATTTTGAGTGTAAAGATTACTGTAATCATGTTAAAGTACGAAATTAATTATATTTTTTTCAAATCTCAATAAAGATCATTATAGTTTACTCAAGTAAAATAATTTTTTGAGCGCTTACTAAGAAGAAATTTCCTTCTCATTGATCTAATTAATGTGAAAATCTAAAAAATGATAGTGAATTTGAATTCCTCCATCAAATGAGCTTATCAATTGTTGATGTTCATGAAAAAGACTTCTCCTAGGCAAATATGCAACTTGAAAGTATAGTAAAATGCATGCCAGACTATCATGGTTGAACCATCACCACAGTAAGGGCATTTCAATGCTAGCCCAATATTCCAAAGTTTCTAGTAAGCTTGAAGAACAATTGCTGACACTAGTCTCTGAGTGAATTGTGATTTGGTTTCTCTGTAGGGGGTCTATTATTGTTGGTAGCGAGTATGGGTGGTTGTTTTATGTCTTATTAGTGTCCCTTCGGTTTGGTTTGCTTCTTGGTCTTTGGTTATTAGTTTCTGTTCATTGCTAGTAGATAGTACTAATTATGGTTCATTTGACAACTTTCTGATATAGTTTAAAAGTCAAAAAATTATTAAAAAAATTAAAAAGTCAATAAATACTCAAAAATTAAATATTAATTTCCATTCATTTTACCTTTTACATATTTTTTCGTAAAAAATTAAAAAATCATCTCAAACATATTAAGGCTGTGTTCAGGCCCAGCCCTGAGATTTTCGGGGCTCAAAGCTGATAATGAACTACTAAATTTCTGAGGCCCTTCACATTTTTTTTATTGAATGAAAAAAAAAAATTAAGGTAAAGGACAAAAGATTTGTATTAAAATCACAAAAAAATACTTAGCATTATATTATAATAACTAATAAGTATCACTTGATCCTCACTCTTCTTGCATTTTTAGAAGCAAATAAATCAATTATACTTGCATAATTTAGTTTTTTTGCAAAATCATTTTCAATAGATAACAATGCTAATCCATTCAATTTTTCTTGTGACATAGTTGATCAAAGGTAATTTTTGATGATTTTCAACTTTGAAAAGTTTCTTTCCCTCGATGCAACTGTAACCGGAATAGTCAAAAGTATCCTATAAGCAACCCATGAATTTGGGAAATAATTTGCCATCAACTGCAAATGATTGAGCACTTCAATTGGTTTATTGACTTCTTTTGGCAATCTCTCTTTAAAGACTTTTAGCTCCATCAATAAATCTCTTCCATCAATATCGGAAATCTCATCATGTTTTAAAAATTCTTCAACATTCACACATCCCGCCTTCAACGATTCATCGTTGCACCTTTTCAAGTCAAACAAAAAGCCAAAGTTTGCCTCATATACTTTGAATTGTTCGAACCTATTTTTGAGCGAACAAAGGGCTTGATCAACAAAATAAAGGAAGTAACCAACTCTAAATGATTCTTCAGCCGACTGGGTCACCTCTTCGCTAACATTCTCATCAATTTGTTTCTTTCTAGAAATGATGCGCTTTTCAGCAAATGTAGGTTCAATTCCCAATTCACTTGCCATTTCTTTAGCTTCAACCATAGCCTTCATGAAACCAACTTCTTTATACATTGCAACATACTTAACAAGCCCATCTAGTTGCTTTACAGCAACTGCTATATCCATATCTTCACTTTGAAGAAGCTTACTAACAAAGTTCACGTGAAACAACAAATTGTACCAAATTACAATACTAAACAAGAACTCAAAAGTCTCAAGTTCATGAGTTACTAGGGATTTAGCTTCACTTTTTGCAATCGAATCTGTGGTAGGATTGTTATACAAGTCAACTAAAGCATCTCTTATTTTTTAAGCATGGTATCTTAGTGGTTTAACACTTTCAATGCGACTTTCCTAATGCGTTTGCGACAACGACTTAACCGTGAGGCCTTCCTTTAGATTATTTTTTAAAATTGCCCAATGTTGAACGAAAGATGAAAACAATACATATATGCGTTGTACCACACCGAAAAAAGTTTTTGCTTTAGAGCAAGAATTGGCCATATCACAAAGCACAATGTTAAGACTATGACAACCACACGGCGTATAGAATGCTCTAGGATTTACTTGAAATACTCTTGTTTGAACACCTTTTTTTTGCCTTTCATGCTAGAGCCATTGTCATATCCTTGCCCTCTTAAGTCACCACTATCAAGTTGAAGGTTAACTAATGCTTCTTAAAGTTTATCAAAAAGTCTCATCCCCGATGTATCATCCACATTCAAGAATTCCAAAAAAAACTCTTTCACTTTAATTGGACTTATTGAAACATCCACGCATCGTACAACAAGAGACATTTGTTCTTGATGGCTTATATCCAGTGTACAATCAAGTATGACCGAAACGTATTTTGCTAGTTTGATTATCGACAAAATTGCACTTTTGACTTCCTTGGCCAACATTT